TTGACCATTGACCACGCGTCCCTTTGGAGACGGAGCACCGTTCCTACACCTACTAGAGACACCACCAACATTTGGGAGCTCTTTACGTTTTTGCCACAAACTCCATAAAAAATGTTTTTTTTTGGGGGGGGGGTACAAGGTGTCGGGCGGGTGGTAAGTGATTAACGCGTTGACGGCGATATGTCAGAGATTCTTTGAGTGAGGTCGTCGTCACAATGCTTTCGGGTCGAGGCCTGTGGGCTTGTTTTGGACTACACAAAATACCGCTGAATGCTCTCGGGGTGGTGCGGTGCGGGGTGTGGACACGACCAATTGCCACATTGAGATGTGGACAGACACATTCACCGCTGAAGGTGTGCCAGACCGAAGCTACTGCGAGCGATTTCGGCAACAAAAAAAACACTGCCTGATTGTACAACATTCAACGCCCCCTTAACACGGACTCTCACCTATCGGATCGGAAAGGAAAGGCCGACACATGCTTGAAAAAAACGCCCAAAGCACTGCCAACGTTAACCGGACCAGTGTTTTCGTCTTGTGGGCGACGATACATCAACCACTGCTGCTGCTGCTGCTGCTGCTGCTGCTGCTCCTGTTGAACCAATTGAGCTAGCTTCTGCGGATATTCGACCCCGTGAGGAGAGCGAAGCGCGTTCCGCCGACAGACATCCATCTCACCTCTCCGCCACCTTGCGGCCGATCATTCTCCCCCCCGCCGTGTGCGCAAAGTAGTGGTTGTAGTAGTGGCACATGAACCCCGGGAGCGTCGACGCCACCTTCTCTCTCAAAAACGAGGCGTACTCCAGAGCGTTCTCGGTCGGGGACGGAGCCTTTCCGTCCCCTCCGCCCCCCTCCGCCCACGAGTCCGGGTACGCCTCGAGCATCCACGCGATGTCCTGTTGTTTCGGAATCAGCGATCAACCCATCGATTCAAACGGCTCGGAAATTCATGAACCAAGTCTCGACACCACGGCCGGCGCAAGGGGTCAAAAGAGCAGGAACATAACACCCATCACAACTCAGCACAACATGGCCAGCAGAAGCAACGGGGCACAAGCTCGGTACCCGACACAATGTGGTAGATTGGGGGTGTTCGAAGACGAGCTGGGTCGGCCAGGGATGGAATGCAAACATCTCCTCCTTCAACGTCAAAGTATCACCCTAGTTTAAGGTTCCGTGGTGGTGGTGGTGGGGGGTCATGGGCACCACAGCCACCACGCGGCAAGGAGTGTTTTGTGTCTTGTGTCTACGTCTTTCTGTGTACTCCCAGAGTGGGTCGTCAACGCGACAGAGCGCTTGGCGTGTGGGGGCTATCCTGCCCTCTCGCTGTTCCATCTTGAACCAAGCTAGCCCCAACCAAACTAGCAGTATTCAAGCGCTACTCCCTGTGCTAGCGGGCCGATTTGAGGAACGGTAAGACTCAACCAAAAACATGCCATACACCCACCCGCCGACACCCTGGGAACAACAAATAAAACCACGTACAGTGCATCTTGACGCGAATGAGCAGGGCACGAGGAACTTGAGTGTTTTTCATTGCTGAATGACCTTACCGTACCGAATGACGAAAACCCCCATATTCCGGGGGTCCAAAAGACGGACGTGCCTTCCGAAAGTGTTGATGAACTAAACCTACCCGCCTCCCTGCCTATTTTTCACGCCCCGCCACCATCGGACCTTAACGATATGCCTCCCTCCACACGCTGACATCCCAACCTGAACGTGAGCTACCCGTCCTATCCATCAACCCGTCGGGTTGAAAGCGCCGGTTCGCTCGAGACACGTGTGCTCCGGAAGCATCCCCACGGGACCCCAGAACCGCACCCAAAACAACAAATCCAGCTTTGCTCCACCTTATCTATGTCGACGCCTCGGTTTGCTCGAGACCCACGTGTTCCGGAAGCATCCCACGGGACAAAACCCCCGCACCAACAAACATAGCCAGCCCGCTCTTCGTGTGCATACCTTTGTCAACGCCTCCGTTCGCTCGAGACCACGTGTTCCGGAAGTATCCCACGGGACCCAAAACCGCACCACCAAACAAAACCGCACCACCAAAGGTATCCCCAGCCCGCTCTTGGTGCGCAAACGTACCTTTGTCAACGCCTCCGTTCGCTCGAGGCCCGTGTTCCGGAACTCCGCCAGCCGAGGGTCCGAGCCACACGCCTCCTCCAACGCCTCATACACAACCTTAGAGTCCACCAGGAACTGCAGGTACCCTCGTCTGCATTGGGGGGGGAAACATGAGGTGGGGTGGGGTGGAGTGGGGGTCCGATGAAGGGTGCACGCATGGTTGAAGGGGGGGGCTTGGCACGCCGACCCGGCGTTCGACATTCGCACCCATGGTTCCCGCAAGGAGCGGAAGGCATCAACCGCCCCCTTGCCTATGTGTTGAGTGGCTATGTGTTGAGTGGGTTAGAGAGTAAGGCCAACGAGGAACAGAGGGGTCAGCAGAGGGAAAGAAGATCTCTTTCTCTGTCTTCGTTGCCAAATGCTTCATCCGTCGTCCCCCCTCTCCTGAGCTTCCGGCCACACGGAACCAACACCGCACACCAAAGCACCAGCGCCAGCACCAGCACCAAAACATCGCAAGGGGTGGGAAAGAAATGAACATCTGACAGGCGGGCCAACAGAGGACAAAAGCCGCGCACGCGGCAACGAGCCCAACAAAACACCACGATTGTCTTTCCAAAATACCACGCACACACACCTTGAAGGTTTCCAATCCGAGAACTTGGTCCCCTTGTTCTCTTGCTTCCCCTCCTTGGGGCTCTGATCCCTCGTGTGCAGCTTCATCGCCGCCCTACGCATGTCCCACTGCACGAAAGAGTTTTTGTCCCTGTCGTTCGTCGTCATCGTCGCCATCGTGATCATGTGCGACGTCGTCCACATCACGGCAGGGGTGGAAACGAACATGGCGACAAGAGGCAAGAGAGGAGGAGGAGGAGGAGGAGGCGGGGGGTAGGCTTAGTTACGATAAAAGACGCAAGCATCGATACCCAAGTGATCCACGCTCTCCTCAAAAACAGATCCGAAGAGAGAGGTAGAGGAAGAGAGAGAGAGGGGAGAGAGAGAGAGAGACACACACACACAGAGAGAGACAGAGAGAGACAGAGAGAGCGAGAGAAGAATTGCAGAGTGTAGAGGAGGGCGAAGAGGAGGTCAGCGGCAAGATAAACCTCAGACCGCTCATATAACGACATCAAGGGGGACCTCAAGGTAGTCGTTATCCCCACGCACGCGCAGCTCGCTAACCCCCCCACCCCCCCGTCCAAACCCGTGGTTAGGTGTAATGTTTCGGTTGTTATCAAATAATAAGACAAGAGAGACGGAGACGGCTACCCGCCAGCTACACTGCTGCACTGCTGCACTGTTTCGCAGCGGGTATGCGCAGGGTGGGCAACACCTGATGGACCACCACCAACGGCTTTATCTCCACCTTCGACACTGCTGGTGCTGCTGGTGCTGCTGGTGCTGCTGCTGCTGCTCTCGTCACTCCTCGCCCTTCCCCTAAACGGCACCCACCGCTCAAAACAGGAGAAGAAAAACACCCCCAACACGCATTGCCGCAAAACGACAATCAGGAAACCACCCCCCAAGAGTCTAAGGACGCGCTCCGCTCACGTTTTGGGCTTGACCCCCCCCCCGTGTCCATGCCCTCGCCCCTCCTCCTTCTTGGCCCCCTTGCCCTCGGCAGTGGCCGCGACGTCGGTGGTCTGGGAGGTGCACCACAAGGGAACCGCCGCCGCTCTACGCCTGCCATCACGCACGCAAAAATTTTGTCAGCCGGTTAGGGCGGTCGATGCAAATAGTAAAAAACACACGAAAGACACACCGATACCCTACGTTGCGGCAATGTGCCTTCTCTACTGAGGGCCCTACTGTCGTTCGGGGTCATACAGATGAGATCCTCTCCGCAGGATGCATACGTACAATACAGGCCTTCACGTTGTCTCGCGAGACAGGGGCGTTCAGAACCCGCTTAGTTATTTTCGGTGCGTCTTGAGCTTTTTACACAACGAACCGTTGATCTTTTTTTGAATTAGCAGAAGCTCCGCGTGGAGAGGCGATTTTTACTTGGTACACCCTGCCTTCGTGGGTATCTGGCGACATCTTTTTATCTAGGAAATAGAGGGAAACTAGGCATGCCGTCGGTATATTTGCCGACACACTTGAAAAGAGGCACCGCAGACACACACACATCACTTGCAGTCTCGGCAACACACAGCCTACACAGCACGCACAACACAGACGAGGAGGGGCTTGTGGGACATGGAAGCAACATGTCCGCGCTGCTGCCGCCGTTGCCGTTTTGCTGCAGTGCCAAAAAAAGCGTAGCTTGCAGCTGCAGTGGCCAAAAAAAAAAGTAGCTTGCAGCCGCCGCCGAAAAGAAGGAGCAACTTTGGATCATGAGCGCCAGAAGCTGTACCACCCACCGCACAACAGGAGGCTAGCACACTGACGAAGTATAGCGCTCTGTACATCATCACTACGTCCTATTTTCTCTCCTGCTGTTGTTGCTTGTTGGTGGTGGTGGTGTGGATGAAAGGATTACTCCTGCGCAGAGGGAAAGAAAGATAAGACTTGCGCTTTCTTTTTGCCGTACGTTGGGTCTCGCGGACATCGTTCAGCAGTACAACAAGTACGGATGTTCATCTCATTTGCCCACTTGCACGTATCACAAGCAGGCGCAGATCTCATGTGGCACTACACACCTTACAACATGAATCTTACTCCCTGCTGCTGTTCTTTGTGTTGGCGTGGTACGGCTGCGCAGATGAGCGAAAGCGAGAGACGCTCGTTTCGCCGTTGGGGATTTAAATCTACAGGACAAGTAGGAGAGGGATCTTTGCATAAATCACAAAGCGCGGCTTTCATGGCAGCGCCATCTCCCTATCACCGCTCATATTGCTGTGACTACTGCCGGCCGTGCTTGCTTGTACGACGCCGGTGTGCTTGTTGATATGCATCTGATGATTGCTTGTGGGCAGATGATGTATTTAGCGAGATGCTCCATACAGCAGTACAGCAGTAGTTGGTGGTGACTTGTTGCGCATGACTGAAAAAACAGCACCGAGAGGGGAAAAAGAGACGATCATCGGAAGACAGGCCGATTGGTGCTCTTGGCACGGTACTGCAGAGACCCGCTTTTGAATCGACGTTGTGGTCAAAGAGTGTCGCGACGAGGCCGGCACTTTTTTACTAAAAATAAGTACCGCACACACAGAAGACTACCCGTTCGAGATACATGTATGCCAACACAGCAGTCGAACGGGATGCGGTGGAGTCTTGAGTCTTTGCAGCGAGGCCGGAACTTTTTCTATCTTTACTTACTGGTATTTTCCAGGCGCTGCCAGTAAAAAATCACCGCTCCGCGTATTCGCGGACGCCTGCACAACGAAACAACAAGAGGTAGGCTTACACAGACTCACAATGAGCCCAGATTCCAGCCGGCTTCCCTCCACCCAATGAGAAGACTTCAGCACATCCCTTTCGACTGCTGTGGTCATAGACTACAAGTATGTAAATCTCGAATACGGCTACTCTCAGTAATGTTGTGTAGTCTATTTTCTAGAAAACAAAACAAGGTGTGCAAAATGGAAGTCTACAGCAGCAGACAATGAAATAGCCTTGTAGCGCATCAAGGTCCATCTGACCTACAGCTGACGCTGCGTCTTGCAGCCTCGTGAGCCATCTCGGAGCGGTGCTTCGCGGGGCGCGCGGGGGCGTGTGCCAAGTCGGGGCGCGTGCCTATTTCGCTGTGTGGGTGCCCGGTACATACCGCTCTATACAGCAGTACAATAGCAGACTCCTGCGGTAGACCGTATGTAGCTGGCTCTTTCTCATGGCCCCGCGCTACCCACGAGGGACAGACCCAAAAAGGAGAGTGTGCAGTGATCGGCAACTTTAGCAGGTGGCAAGCGAGGGGTTCGCTCGTGCACCGGCAAGGCCCGCGTTCATCGAGCACGTCGCTCTCTGGTCGCCCTACCCGCGCGTGTCCAAAACTTCAACGAATAACCGCTATACACACACACGCTTCCGGAGAGGGGGTGGTATGATGCCTTTCCGCTGGGTGCAAGAGATAAAACAGCTGCAATCAAGGCGTTTGCCGACAACACCGTCAGGAAGCCGATCATCATCGCACAACTAGACAGATCGCAAGCAACCTTCCAGACATTCGCAACGCAAGGCATGTGGTGTTTGGGTTTTGGTGGGGGTCTACACGATTGCGCTGCCTCTGTGCCCGGCTCTCCGTGTATGATTATCATGTCCGGAAAAAATCTACGCACCTGAAGGATGAGGCGGCCCACGGGAACGCCTTATTCGAGGACGACCGTCGTGCTGCGGCCGTCGATCTGCCGGATCCGGAAGAGGGTACAAGGACCTGGAAAGCGCTGCTGGTGGTGACGGTCCCACGCTCGAAGGCTAGAACGGCGGTCGCTGTCGAGAGCACCCTCATATTGATCGATCGACTCACTGCTGTGAGGCAGGTATGTAGGTGCGCCTGCTGACGAACTCAGATTTTTGAAGACTTGAAGGGACTGACTGCTGCTGATAATTATGACGAAATTTTGTCGGGTTGCCTCGGGTCCCTGTGAAAAATCACGGAAGCCTTGCGCTGTCCTAGGTCTCTCCCGCGGCAGTTTTTGTCGCTGTGTGTCGATCGATGATCAGCAGCACATAGCAATGAGAGAGGTAGGAGGGCAACCTACCCTCCTAGACACTGGGCTCTTTTTGGCACTTGGTTTTGTCCCCGCTCCATAAGAACGCCTCGAGAACCACGTTCGTGACTGTTATTCCACCGCCGGGCCCGTCACACTTCAACGCCGCTGCAGCACACAACTCTGCCGCTTGCAACGCTGCTGCTGCTACTGCTGTCCCTTGGTGCGTCGTGAGCGGTGAGCCATTGGTATCTCATAGCCCTCTCATCGAAGAAACGTGGGGATGGAGACAGCAGCTAGTCGGTTGCTTGTGCCCCGTGAATATATCGTGTGCGTATGTATGTATATTTTGCGGTATGGAGGCTCGCTTCTAATTATGCACCAATCGGACCGTTGCCGAGACGCTTCTGCTGCCTGACTGAAAGCACACCTGGTTCCAAGTGGTTGGCATGAGAGACGGCGAGAGCGGGTTTCGAGATCTATGTCGACCTGAACGCCAGAGCATTGCGTACGTGTCATTCGCTACGTCCTCGCGGTTATGCAAGATGAGCATGTACATGTTTCCAAAACAGGTGCTACACGGCACATGGATCATGACGCCGTGGCACTACTGCTGTCCGTTATTCGTGATTGGTACATACTCGTGACGCTGCTTTCCACCAACAACCCTCGTCATCCGTCGGGTTGTCATCTCTCGTGCATTCGCCCGCCGCCAAACACTGCTGTTGGTTCCATGTCCAGTTCCGGGGACAGAATTTGATCAAATGCCCGAGCGAACACACGTACCAACAAGTAAACTACAGTACACATGTTTGTTTGTGCCACAACAACCGCTGTCCCTCGTATCTTTTGTACATTTCTATTGTAGGAACTACCGAAGGTGACCAAAGGTGACATGAGAGATCACACCCCTCGGGTAGACTTCCAAAGCTCCATTACAGCAGTTAGCGCCCGCACGCAAGAACTTGGCGGTTAAGAGCCCCGAGAAAATAAAAAAGTCTTACATAAGAACTTGAGCACCATTTGTGGGCTCGGTCAAGAACTCCTACACTAGAACGAAGTACTTGGTACTGCTGTAAGAAAGATGCTCGTCTTGGCACACTTGACTGGGTGGTCGTACTTTTTTTATGTTTTCGTTTTCGATTGTTTTATCGGACAGGGGTGCCAAGACGCCGATGATGCGTGCCATGTACCCGATACCTGCGCCGAAAATGAATTAAATCTTTGTTCCGGAAAAATAGATCGCGCACCCCGCGCGATCAACTCCGATCCGTGCGATTCTCAACAAATACAAAGCGGCGATGTGGGGTGTTTTGAACGCGCAGGCGGTGCCAAGACTTGGACGTGTTGCGATCGTGAACACATCACAGCGGACACACACCGGCGCTTGGTGTGCATTATTGCCAGATGCCAGAACGAACACAAACACAAGAGCACGACGGCCTCACAAACACAATCAATCACACACGGTGAAAAAATGCGGCGAAATATTTACCCGAGGTGGCGAATTACCTTGAAATTCGCCGACGAAGAGGTGTGTGCTCACACACACACCACACCCTAGAAACACGTTGGCAACGATAATGTCGTTTTGGTCTCTTGTACTTTGTACGCGTTCTTGGTGGATTGAGTGGTTACCATTTGCCGATTTCGACAATAGTAGCAGCAGTATTGAGCAACAGGGCAGTTCTAGAAATCTAATTACAACATCACTTGCGCATGATGAGCGTCACGGTGCCAGAGTACAGCAGTGGAGCCTATCATACATCCTCCCGTGGTACAGTAGTGTCCCGCAACAAAAACGCTGGGTACCCCTCGTAGTCTTGCCCGACCTCACCGAAGGTATCGAGGTCTCCGCACACCCCCGTGCGAAGTGAACGATATCTGTGCGACGATCAATGCAAAACCTTTGGAACCCGCTATATATCCCCCCTGTGTCAAGACCCAGGCCTGTGCGGCGTACCCGATCCGTGCCAAGACGCCCATCCTTTTTACGGTATATGACGAGCGCACGTTCGTAGCATAACCCGAAGAACTGGTAAGAATCGAGCTTTGAAAAATCGGTCCGGGGCGTGAACGATATGTCTACGCTGCTGTCCTTTATGTACTCTTTCTCTTCCTGAGAAGAACCGATTCCTCGAACAAGCCCGCAGTGCGGGTACCGGTTGTTCCAGCGGATTCCTCGGCCACCTGTACTAAATAACGTGCATGCACGACGCCCACGACTGTTTTTCGAGATTTTTTATTGTCAATTCTCGCTCTCGACGGTTCGTGTACCCTGCGAAGAAACGACAGCATGCGAAAGGCTAGCTACATATCTTACCCGTTATCGTACCCATATGTATGTAGTGTACAAGGCGACATGGAACATGGCGGTGTCCTCTGATGTTTGTGTTTGTGTTAGGCGGTTTCCATCGATCCGACCGACTGCTTTTCTACCGCAGACGGCGCCCGCAATGAAAAATTATGCTGTGAAGCACAGTCAGGCTCAGGTTTTCGCGGAAGGTAAGAACTTTGCGAAGGGAACATAGCTCAACCTGAGCGACATGGTAGAGAGCGGGAGCTCCTTCCTACTGATGCCCCCAAGACCACAAACCAAGAGGTGGTCGAGGGCGTGCCTCAGACAACATATTGCGTCCCCAATACCGAAAAAAATCATACTGTAATACTCGGTAGTACTGCCAGATACCCAGAAAAAAGCACAGCAAACATACACATCGAGTTCTGCCGTATACCACTTCACGACCTCGTTGTTGCACATTGCCCGCTGTCGGTGATACACACACAGCTTGGCAAACTTCGGCATCTGCGTGCGTCTTGTACCCCTCGCCCCAAGGCACTGTGTGGATGTATTATTTAGTCCGGCGGGGTAGCACATACTCCTTTTTCTAGGCCCTGGGAGTACAGCCCCTAAGAAGCGCCTGCTTGTGCCGGCACCGCTCTGCTGTGTGGTAGCTATCAATAGCTCCGACGAACTTCTCGTCACGTCGCGCTTTTCGCTTCTGTTCATGCACGAGACATTCGGTAGCTTTATCCGCCGGATTTCTCCGCCCGGGTGAAATTTTGTCCGCCGAGTTTCTAGTCAGAAGTCGTAAGTGCGATCCCCCCAGGTGCCTAGCTCCTCTCTCTCTTCCTGGGCCTGTCGTATGACCGTTCATTCTGTTGCTGCTGTTGCTGCTGCTGCTGCTGCTGCTGCTGCTGCTGTTGCTGAACAGATGAGCAGGAAAGGGGGGGGAAAACACCCTGAAATTCAACTCCTGCGGAACGATGTGGCCGAAATGCAATAACCAAAAAATATTTGTAGTGAATAAGAAAAATTAAAGCCCCGGCTCCCCGATCGAGATTGTCCGCGTTCATGAAATATTGAGGAGCAAATGGAACGCCGCCAATGGAGCCCCACACGGGTGGTTGTCTATACAGTACCTTGTGTTTTCTGTCTTTCGAGCTCCGAATGGAACCGTGACCCTCCCCTTTCTGTGCCCCGCTGCTTACACGCTCGACCCCCCCCCCCCCCCAGGCCGGAACAGGAGGGCCCGCTGCTGGTACTAGCAAGCTCTTCGGCAGCCTGCTGTCTCTACTACAGGAAGAAGAGGTCAAGGGGAAGCGGCACAAGTGGGACGAGGGAGTGTAAAACTTCCGCTCCTGCGGGGACAAAAAAAGAGCAATGACCGTCGCACCATCGTTGCCAAGTTTCCCAAAGGCAAGAGCAGGTTCTAATTTTCGGGGGTGGGGGGGCAGCAAGACGCTTCTACTTATGTGATCGGGCTTGATTTCGTCGTCTCGGACAATCGTGTTTTTTTTTACCTGTATTATTACGAAATACATGACTGGCATGCATGCTCGAATGCACGTGATGCAAGCTGCGACTTTTCCGTTAGCCCTACGGGGGAGAAACGAGCATTTGGTGAAATTCCGACGTGCGATCTGTGTGCATGGATTGGATACCACCAGCAGCAGCGCGGCGCGTGAGGTATCTGTTGGCGAGGACAAATGGTTCTTTCCATCACTCTTCTTCCGTGTGCAACGAGGACCGAGACTGACGAAGACGTGGGTGTGGGGGAACAGCATGACTCCACCGCGAGGCTTCCCCCATTTTTCCAACAAAGATTTTGCACACTACTTACTGCTGTACATGTGGTGCTTCATTTCGAGGCAGCGCCTTGGAGTACAGCTAGCGCCACCACTTGTGAACCTCTAGTTTTGGGTGGAGGCTGGGATTCTTATTAGGTCCTAGGGTTATGCTTCGAATAGCCGCTACATACTAGGTTTAGTATTGGGGGTCTTACAGGGGCTCACAAACGGTGGTCAAGCTCTTGTATTTTGAGGCTACAATATATCAATTTATTTCTTACATGGCAAGTTCTTGAGTGCGGACGCTAGCTGTGCACGACCACTGCTGTGTTGCAGCTCGCTGCATACCAAGTGTGGTCAACGTCGTTTCATTTCGAAGCATAAGCGTCTCAAGCTACTACATACAGGACCGCTGCTGTATTTACAACGCGCTGTTGTTATCCAGGTGGTCATTGTCGGGGCCGGAATGGCGGGACTGTCATCTACGAGGGAGTTGCTCCGAAGGGGTTGGCCGAAGGACAAGCTGGTGCTGTTGGAAGCGTCCTCGAGGTTCGGGGGGCGGGTGAGAGACCGTTGTTGGCCCCGCCATGCGCGAGAGCCGCAAGAGAATAAAAAAATACCAACGGACGATTGTATTGTCTCTGGGGCTTCGTAGCCCGCTGGCGCCTTGAGTTAGGAGTAGATGCGCACGGTTTCCTGGTTTCGTCGGAGCGGTCGAACCTCATCGAACCCTCTTCTTCGTTTGGTCGTCGCGTTGTCTAGCTTTGGCGTACACCCAAGAAGAGTGCGTGCCTCTCTTCTCCGTGAGTGGGTACAGTAGTACTACCACCGCGGTCTCCAGTTGTTGTTGTTTTTTTCGCCCCTGTGGTGATGGATTCACGACCGCAGCTGCCCCTGCTGCTGCTGCTGCTGCTGCTGCTGCTGCTGCTGCTGCGATCGATGACAATTATTCCGGCGTGAAGCGGAGAGTCCTCAAGCACTGCTGTTTTGTTGGCCGTCTCGTCTCGTCTCGTTGGCGTGCGTGGGTGCGTGCGTGCTTGCTCTACGTTGGTACATGTTACGTGGTGCTGCATCGTGCCCGTGCTAGTTGTTGATTATGGTCGCGTTTTGGCTGCTGCCCTTGGCCTCGTCGCTTCCGTCTCGCACGCGGCCCTCGCCCGTACCCGCTCCTCCTCCTGTCCTGTCTCCGTTGTTCTTTTGTCAGATGCGCACACGTCACCACGGGCCCGCCGGGGGGGGGCTGTGCTTCGACCACGGGGCGGCGTACATCCACGGCACCTTGGGAAACCCCCTCGTAGACTTGGCCAACGGGGCCGGCATCGGTTTGAAACAGGTAGGCATGCCCGCGTTGACACGACGACGTCGTCGTTAGAACGAAGTAACCGATACAAGGCTGGGGATGTATGTCGTGCACCCTCCTTTTTTTTCTGTCCTTGTCCGGGCGCGAATGGCATCTTGGAGGCAAGTCCCGCTGGCCGTGTTACCGCCGCTGCTACTACTGCTGCTGCTGCTGCTGCTGCTGCTGCTGCTGCTGATACTGTTTCTGCTGCTCATGCTGTGAAACGTCAACCGTAGTAATGCACGACACCCCGAGAACTTTGCCTTTTTCTAGTCAGTCGCAAATAACAGGACAAAAAAAACAAGGTGTTCAGGCGCGGTATGTGACCATCTATCTCGGTGCAGCTCGTACAGCGTGAAGCAGCAGCAGCTGTAGCGGCAACTAGCCGCAGCAGCAGCTGAAGCGCAACAACGACCTGTCCCCCACGAACGACAACCGCAAACAGGTATCAGAGTCGAACCCCTGGATAGAGGCAACGCCGTCGGTATCCCTTTTCTACGGCGGCGAGCGAGCGGGTGAAGCCGAAACCGCCGCGAACGACGAGGCGTTCTGTGAGCTGATGGGCCGGGTCAGGGCCATGGCGCAGGGCTGCGACGACGCCGAAGCTCCCGCCGGGGGTGAGACAGGCTACAACCGCACAACGCTTGCTCGCAGCGGGGTTAGGGTTATCGCGGTCGATGCTATTTCAAGAAACGCACACATGTTGGCGTTTTTGTTTTTTTTTTCCATCCCGCTGTTGGTATAGGGCTAACGTCCGGTCCGAGCCAGTTATTTAGCGTGGTCGAACAAAAGAAAACGCGCGAACGCGTTGCACGCCGCCGCTCGTTCCACGGAGCACCTCCTTTGTCTTGACGCTCGGTGCACCCACTTTATCAATTTATCGAATTGTCAATTAATCAATTAATTGATCACTTAGTGAAACTGTCGCCATGGGCGGGGACGGGATGCCCCCCTTTTGTGCATCCTGGTCTCGTCAAGGCTCTTTTGGTGCGTATAGGGGTAGAAGGGCGAGCGAACGCTAATAAAGTCCTGCGACAGCTTTTACACCAAGACCGATCATGGAAAAAATCCACACAAATACCGTCCTCTTCCCCATGTTTTTCTCTCTCTCTCTCTTCCCCTTGCCCTTCTGTCTCTCTCCCTGTCTCTCTCTCTGTCCCTCTCTCCATTCTTCATCTTGCTCGCCCCCTCCGTACCACCTCGAAAACCTCTCCCCTGCTGCTGTTTGGTTGTTGTATTATTGTTTCTCCTCCATGTGCGTGAAAGACGCCATCGAGAAGCTGCTGCTGGACGAGCCGTTTCGCTCCTTCTCCGTGCCGGAGCTGGCCCGGTTGCGGATGAGGGTCCTCACGCTGGCTCTATGGCACGGGTGCGACGTCCAGGATATGCAGCTAAGATCGCTCGAGTTCGAAGACAAGCCGTTCCACGGCGGGCAGGTAAATCTTAGTTATGATTTGGACCTGGATCTGGATCCACATTTGGGTCCGATTTGGATGTAAATTTGAGTCTGAGTTGGAATTCGACCTGGGTATGCATCTAGATCTGGATGTTGATCTGGATCCGGATCTGGATCTACCTTTTGATCTGGTTTGGGTTTGGTATGGATGTCCGTTTGGATCTGGGTTTGGATTGGATCATGTATCTGTGGATCTACTTGCATCTGGAATCGGATCTGAATCTGGATTCGGATGTGGGTACGGTTGGGGCTGAGTTTTGGTTGGGTCTGGTTGGACTAGGTGCCTGCTTAGGTCAAGGCATGAGATAACGACAGCCGCCAGGAGGTGAAACATAACATGACGTAGTTCCCGTACAACGCCTCGCGCGCGCACGTGTGTCACGTCTGCCCAAGAGTGTCCATGGTGTGCTGCGTCGGTCTTTACGTCTGCGGTCGGTCCTCCGCAAGGTTACTTTCTTGTCCTCCGCAAGGTTGCTTTCTTGTTGCCGTTCGGACAACCTCTTTGGTCTCGCTCGCCGACAAGGATAGGCCAAGAGACCGAGCCTTTCATTGGTGATGCATGTCGAGCTTCTGGAAAGGGGGTTAGCACGCCTATTTTCGTTCTTTTTCTCGCGGGGACCAATAGCTCACGTACCGCAAACCTTTCGAGGGCGCGGGATCGATTCGCCCCCCCCCCCCCCCCGCAATGCTCTCAGTTTTTACACGGTATTGTGCCCCCTGCCTCCCGTTGTGCTTCTTCTGCTTTTCCTGTGGCCCTGTTCTGTTGTTGTTGCTGCTGCCTCCGCTGTCACTTGTCGGCGTTTTTATGCGTCTATCCGTCAGGGGGTCTACGGTGACTTCCCCGGGCCGCATTGCGTGGTGGAGGGGGGCGTGGAGCGCATCGCGGAGGTGGTTGCTATCCCGCAGGTTGGTTCGCTTCTCCGCACGCGGTTGGGATTTATGGTCTGTTGCCATCAGACCCAGGAAGCAGCAGCAGCAACAAGCCGCACAATGCCATCAACGTGGCTTAGGAACCGATTTTTTCCTGCTGTCTCCCGCAAACTCGCCCATCCAACCCTACCGACCCACCCAGGATTTTTCGGCGTATGATGTTTGCATCCGGGCTGGGCGTGTGCGCGCATGTTTTTCGTTTCAATCGTCGACGGCGGCGCGAACACCCCCTGGCCAACCAACCTTCATCCGGCTCTTCGTGCCTCACTCCGTGCCCCCCTGTCTTAACCCTCCACGCCCCCCACCCGCCCCGTCCCGGCTTTGAAGGGATGCCAGGTCAATGGTCTAACGACTACGGCATGCACAACTATGAGTACACCTCCCCCCCCC